TAGAGTGCCGTGGCGTCAGCCTAGCTCACAGCAACCTCAAACTCCTGGGCTCAAGCGATCCTTCTGCCTCAGCCTCCTGAGTAGCTCGGACTACAGGCATGCGCCACCATGCCCGGCTAATTTTTTGTATATTTTTAGTTGTCTGATTAATTTCTTTCCACTTTTAGTAGAGACGGAGTCTCGCTCTTTCTCAGGCTGGTTTCGAACTCCTGAGCTCAAACAATCCGCCTGCCTCGGCCTCCCAGAGTGCTAGGATTACAGCTTCTAGAATCTTTTGAAGTTTGTTTTTCTTTTCTATTAGTAGGATAGGCATTTAATAAATGTTACTGATTACTCGATTTTATCATGTATAGTAGATCATGTGAATACTTACATGTTGGCTTTCTAGTTTGTTTTTAGATGAACAACCAGACTTAGAGGTACTTTTCACCAGAAAATTAATGCAATATATATATTTTGATTTTCAGGTCATCCGTCCTGTCAGGTATGCTTGTGTAATGATAATTGAGAGTGGCAGTTTAACTACTGTAGGTAAATGTAGTTGGAAAAAAACTTTCCACTATAGTTAAGCATTAGAATCATAGTGCTCCATTGTTCTCTAAATTTGCAAAGAATAATAATCAGTGGTAATGCTTTACATTTGTTTTCAATTTACCAATTGTAAAACATACTTTTTTATATCTATGTGCATATATTGTTCTCATTTTCTCTGCCCTTTCTAAGGGAAAATTTGTATCAGATATTTAAAGATACTTAATAGAAACATTTTTAGTGAAGTATGATTATTAGTGGGAAGAATAATAGAAATAATAGTAGTTGCCTTTATAAGACATATTGTTACTGGCATCTTTATTAAATTTCTTTTACCTTTCAGTGTTGAGATTTTCCAAATGGGCAGCCAACTTTTCCTATACTTAGATGTTATGTGAAAAAGTAACAAAAATCAACAGAAATCTGTTCAAAGATTTTTGATGTTGCACTGTGACTTGCTTTTTATTTTTTAATGTGTTGTTTGGACTTTGATAAGCTTTATAAATAACCAAGGCCACTTTTTATTAAGGTTATATTTTCACGCAAAAATCTTTCTTATTTCTTTTTAAATCTAGGTGACTGTGGGGATCATGTCGTCATTATGAACACAAGACACATTGCGTTTTCTGGAAACAAATGGGAACAAAAAGTATATTCCTCACATACTGGGTAAGAATGCCATTGTCAAGGAAAATAGGTAGTTACAATATATTACTTTAATGATTACTCTTATTTAAAAGAAAAACTAGTTTTAAAAATTGGCATTTAAGAAAATACTAATTTACTCATGCTACATATATGATTTACTCAATCAAAAAAACCCACAGCACTATACCAAATACTAGCCGTTACCTGACGGTATTTATTTATCCTAAAAGCTTTTCATGTAACCTCTGATCAAGATTATTCTCATTTTTTTAGTCAACCTTCTTTCTTCTGCTTCCTATAATTCATCTTAATGTTGTTTTCAGAACTATCCTGAACATATGAAAATTCATGAGATGTTTAAGGAATGGTCACTCTTCTATAGATATAGTCTTTGTCAGTATCTCTCTTAAACATACTCACCTAGCTGTGTTCTAATGGTTTTCAAGTACAATGGGCCTCCTTCCTCCATCTTTCAGTTAGGCAATTTTCTATTCAATTTTCTATTCTATTCTTTAAGGCCATTATCAATTACATGGTTCATTCAGTTTACCGTCAGCTAAAACTCCTAAGTCTTTTTCAGGCATGCTCCTGTTGAAACATGTCGTCTCCTTCCTGTGTGCTTTAGTTGTATTTTAATCCAGTTGCAAAATTACTCCATGTTAAATTTTACCTCCAGCCTTTTAAGGTCTTTTGAGATCCTGATTTTATTATCTAATGTATTAGTAAACCTACAGCTTCAGGTCATGTGCAAATTTAATTAAGTATACCTTCTATACCATCATCCAGGTTATAGTTGATCTTTCATTCTTGGTCAAAATTATTCCTAGATTTCCAACTGTACCTTCACCTTTGATGTTCCCATCTGTTTCTTTTCATCTCTTGCCCAAGTGCATCTTAAATGTTTGGAATAACTCTTTTGCTTCCTTGAACCAGCCTTTACCTACTCCTCCCTTAAAGCACATTCATGAAATCTTTATATAACTTAAGAAAACTGAATTTACATCCATCTTTAGTAATTTCTGCTACTGGCAAATCTCTATGTATAAAACAAGTTCTACAAAATTGAGGGGCAATTGGGAAAGAAATATTAAAAGTCAGAATAACATGTGATGTAAGCATAAGGGAAAGTATTGACACAAAATGCTATGGTAATTACGATAGCAATAATATCTGTAGTATTACTGCAAATGAAGGAAAACAGCACAGCTGGTAGTGAACAACCAGTGTAATACATACATCAGCTGGTAATGTCCCTATCAGTAGTGCTTTCTCACTAACAGATGAAAATTCAAACTCCCTTACAAGTTATTGACACCCAGTTGCCGCTGCTGCTTCTTGGTCCTTCTTTTTAGCCTACATATGTTACTTCTTACTTCTCTGCCTTTGCATATGTTGTTCAGCTGACTGGAATGCCATTTCACCCTGTGTTTCTCAGGAACACTCCTATTTATCTGTTAAAAATTGGCTCAGATGTTACCTCTTCTGGGATACCCTCTCTATTTTCTAATCACTGATAGGGTTGATTGCTTTTTGTTTCTGTTTCTGTTGATTCCTCACTTACATATTAGACGTTCTATTTTATTATGCTCATAACACTATATTACAATTATGTATTCAAAATATAACTTTCTAGTTGTAAAATTTTTGGCACATGCTAATTTTAGAAAATAGAGAAAAGTTTCGGCAAGGAACTAAAATTCACCATGACTTAACATTTTAACATGCAGTCAGTCCTCTGTATCCATGGGTTCTGTATCCATGGATTCAACCAACTGCAAATGGAAAATTTTTTTTTTAGATTGTGTTTGTACTGAAAACGTACAGACTTTTTTTCTTGTCATCATTCCCTAAACAATATAGTATAACAACTATTTACATACAAGTTTATATCCTTTTTCACTTAATATAAAATTCTCAGAGAACCTTTTTGTACATGTTAGTTTTGGGTATTGTGTAGTAATATGATTTACCTACTTAATCATTGCTCTCTTTTCCAAAATGAAAAATTTGGCTATTATAAAGAGCTGGAAAATATCTTTATCTTTTAACCTTTTCAGTTTTTGAATAGGATTATTTAAATCTCTGGAAATGTAATAAATTTCAGGATCAAAGGAATGATCATTTATAGATCTTTTGATAGGTATTTCCAAACATTAGTTTACTAATACATAGGACCATGTAAGAATGTTACCCAAATCTGTGCTGTCACAGTGTTATCATTAAAAATAATTTAATAATAAAAGACTATGCTATTTTGATATGCATCTGGTTGTTTACATTTCCATTATAGTGAGGTCTATAGTGCCTGCCTTATCACTTTCTATGAACATTTTATTTATTAAGAATATTAATCCACTATTATAGTTTTTACTT